AAGGATCAGTTTTAATATGTTAGAAATGAATGGAAGTCAATTAAACATGCCCTTGATGATAGAGAAACATGCTTGTGTTTGTGTGTCTGGATGTGTATATGGACAGTAGTTTCCTCTTTTTTCATTAACTGCTGAGTCCATAAATAGGGTAGGCAAGTATAAGCAGTGGCTTCAGTCTGCTCCTTTTTTGGCATCATTTTTGTTTGTTAAAGGGTACTCTACTGTATGCTGTTTCGCTTTTTGTAAAGTAAATTTACCATAATAAAGCAAATCTAATCTAATGAATATAATGTTTTCAGTATCAATTAATGAGCTGCTATTCAGGAGGTTTCTTAATGTGTGAACTCCAAAGCTTTATGGTATCATTTAGATATTTATGCAGAAAAAATCTCATTAAGTACAAAATCTGTGATGTTAGCTGGAACCTTCTCCATTTTAGATTTTATCCCACTTTGCAATGGAGCAAGGGTCTTTTTTCCCTCAGTTTAAGGGAAAAAAATCAAAATCCATCATTAATATTGATGTCAGAAAAAACTTTTTAAACTGTAAAGTGTCTTTAGTTCCTAATGGAATTTAAAAATTAAATAAACAAACATGACGAGAGTTTTAATACAGGGCAGGAAATACAATGTACTCTGTTGTTGTTTGTCTCATTCTGTCAAATTATGACCAAAACTATAAGATGCAAGCTGGCATGGAAGACAAGAAACACCAACCAAGCAAACAAAAAGTAAGATGTAAGTTCAGCCAAAAAAAAAAAAAGTGATTTAGGATAGCTGGAAAGCTTTAGCCTAACTTATTACTGCAGTTATAAGGCAATGCTGCGATAACTGAGGCCTGCAGGGTCGTGCAGGTTCCAGTTCTGGACTGGGATCTTTCTGCATTAAGTCATTCATGTTCTTTCCACAAGTTCTGTCTGATTTTGAAGTATTTAAGCACTCTATGTTGCCTTTTCTTTTCATCCCTGTCCTGGGACAACCTTTTCAGAGTACTGTATACCCCCATGACCTCAGCAGATACATGGATAGCCATGACTCTGCTGAAATAAGCAGGTTTCAGCTGTAGATAGATTTATTTATTGAAGACATGACAGATAATAAAAAAAGCACTTTAACAAGCTAATATCGGATAACTATGAACATAAATTTTATCCCTGTATTACCATTACCCTTAAAATTGAATCAATCTATTAACTTTTCTTTGACAGGTTATTTTACGTAAAGTAATTTTTTGTTTATCTAAGGTATCTAAAGGTGTTTAATCAAAGTAAAAAAAAAATTGTTTTAGAATCTCACACAGAGGAAAATGGAAATCATCTGACTTTGTTTTGGTATTTTTCCACTTGGACAAATCACTTCCTCACATTGTTTGACACATGTTCCCCTCTAGTGCACTTGTTGTAGCCATGCATGCGAATGAAAACATTTGTCTGGAAATGATTCACTCTTGGGATTTAAATCGCAGCACGTAGTCGTTTATAATTTTATAATCAACATTAAGATCCTTTATTAGAATAATAAAAAATTATTAACAAGAAAGAAGATTACCTTACGATTACCTTACGAAATACTGTTTTTCATGATAATAATCATTTTCTGCATTAATTAGAAATTAAAAAGGGGGGATTCTTGCTACCTTGTGTCTGTCTAAGTCTAAACATTTATGAATTCCTGTCGGATTCAGCAATTCAACTTTTGATACAACTCATTTAAACTTGTAGTTGTGATGGTTGGCAGCAGCAGAAGGCTTAAGAAACTGCTGGAGCCACTCTCAATCAGCAGAATGATGTGTTGTTTTTTCTGCACTTTTCATATGTTAGTCCCACATTAGTCTTACATAAGAGACTGCAGGGTTGATCATAATCAGGGCTTAATAACATGCAAATACCGATGGATGCAATTAATATTATTAGTTAGTCATGGGAAATACTGAAATACTGTTGTCACTAAACTACAATTCCAACTTGCCTTTCATGTACATGAGCCTACTCCTCCGAAGGGTCAAGGTGGAGTTTATCCAGGACAGATACAGGAAAATAACCACAATCGTATTGTTTCATGCTGCTGCTTCAACATCATGTTTTCTATGTGTTTGATTTCTAGTAGATGATAGATAATCAACCTGTCCTGCTTGGGTCTGTGTTTTGGTGGTAAGTAAAAA